ATGTAATTTTCCCAGTATTCAGAAGCCCGAACACATGTTGACTGATAAACTGTGCTTGTTCTTACAGGTGGAACAAAGAAGGTGAATGGGAAACAAGCTCCTCAGCTCAAGATTGTGAATGGAAGAACATCGCCGAGCCTATCATGGAAGTATACAAGGAAACAACCGATGGGTCTGCCATAGAGACAAAGGAGAGTGGGCTAGTTTGGCATTATCAGGATGCAGATCATGACTTCGGTTCATGCCAGGCGAAGGAGCTAGTGAGTCATCTTGAGAGGGTGCTGGCAAATGAACCTGTTGTGGTTAAACGTGGTCATCAAATCGTAGAAGTTAAGCCCCAGGTTTGTATCGCTCAGATTTCTTTTCCCGCAACCATTTGACATATTTTATCTTGCACATGCTTGTTGAGACTTGCAGTACCTGAACAAATACATCATTCATTCATTCACTCTTACAGGGTGTTAGCAAGGGGATTGCTGTGGACACAGTCATTCGGACGGTAATCAACAACGAAAACGCACCGGATTTTCTGATGTGCATTGGTAACGATCGATCGGACGAGGACATGTTTGAGAGCATCAATGAAGCCGTCTCACGTTCTGTGTTTCCTACTGCTCCAGATGTCTTTGCCTGCTCTGTTGGCCAGAAGGCTAGCAAAGCGAAGTACTATGTGGATGGGTGCAGTGAGGTGATCAGATTACTCAAGGGTGTAACCGCCATTACACCCCGAAGGGAGGTGATCAGCCAGAGTCAAGTAACATTCAGGGATATACTTGAGGTTGTCAGCTGAACCATGATCTGTTACATTGAATCTATTAGCAGCGAAAACGCGGTCAGCATGATATTGTCAAATCACCAAGGACTACTACTCGTCATCGCGAAAACGATGAAAACTGCCCAGGGTTCGCAATCAGGTAATCAGCCACCATGAAGCATCGCCATCAACGAAACAAAAACTAGTAGTTTTGATGAACTTGCAGGCAATTCTGATTGGGGGTAAAAACAAAAAAAGAAAAGAGAGGCTCCTGCAAGAGCCTTGCAGGAGGAAGGAAAGACATGAATGTACAGCTCTTGGCTTGAATCCAACATTCTCTTTTAAGAGTCTAGTTTAGAACTTTAGATTTGCATCATGTATATGTATGTCTGTTGGAAAAAGTACTTTGGAAATGTGGTGCTCTTCTTCTGCCATGATTCATTGGCGAGGAAAAGGATGTTTTCTTGCATCGGTGACGAAGTGAGGGTCACCGAATTGTTAGCTTTGATCCAAACATTAGCCGTATAAAGTGCATGTTAGTACTGATGGAGTGATGGGGTCATAATAGTGATGCCACAGTGCTCCATTTTTTCATGGCACAAGGCATCATCCGGACAGCCACAGGCTAACCACCAAGGTCCAGAGGGTTTCAGGGAACTGGGCTGTGTAAAACAGCGTTCCAGGGTAAAACAATATAGACGTCTACGGATATATTCTCTAACACTAGAAAAATAATTAACTATAAATATAAGTATCAGTAATGAAGTTTAGGACTTGAAATGTAAACAGGTTTTACTATGAGGAACCTAACTTCGCTAGAAAAGTTTGTTTTGTTCAGACTAGTATGAACTCCCTTGGTTTTACAACTCAAATATTTATATTTGGCTCTTCCCTTGATTCTTTAACTAAGTTTTCCAGAAAACTGTTTGGAAGTGCATATCCTTTGAGATTATTTCCAACAAGAAGACCTTTATGGTAGGACAATACAAGTTTTAAGTTTGGAGGATGAAATTGAACATTTTAGAATGACTTAAAAATTCACCATCCAAGCTGTCTGTCTTTCAGCTACCAACGATTAATGCATATAATTTCCTCGTTGTAAGCAACCATTTATTTTGTTTACCAACGATTAATTTATTTTGTTTGCAAACAGTTTAATTACGACATAAATTAAAATACTCCAAACATATCTTAAACTCTATCATCAATTAAAAAGAAGAAGAAGAGGACTCCGGTTACAACCCTGTTTTTGGAACCGGCCGGTTTATCAGATCTCATTGTGTAAAAACACTAAGAGCCTCTTTGAATCGCAGGAATGAGAAAACATAGGAATAGGAAAAACGCGGGATTTTGATAGGAATGTAAGTGTAAAATAGAGGATTGCAAAACACAGGAAAAACACAGGAATGGTCGTTTGATTGGACCGCAGGAAAAACACAGGAATTAGACGAGAGATAAAGACTCGAAGGAAAATTTCCAAGAGGTTTTACCTCATGTTAGAATTCCTCCAAAACTTGCATAGCATTAGGCAATCCATAGGAATTTCATAGGATTCCATAAGATCCATTCCTTTGATTCAAAGGGCTATATAGGAAAAATTCCTATAGGAATGAAATCCTCTAAGATTCCTATGAATTTCCTTTGAATCAAAGGGGGCCTAAGGCTGCATTTGGAAATATGGGTATATAGAACCTTTCCTTCGCCTAGCACATAAAACAGAGCGACAGATTAGTGCATGATTGATTAAGTATTAGCTTAAAAAACCTTAAAATATATCAATATAATATTTTAAAACAACTTTCCTAAAGATATATTTTTTAAAAAATATATATATCACTTCATCCAAAATGTTGCAATTTAGGATAAGATTTTACTCATAATATGACTCAACATTTTGCAATTGGGATAGTGAAAGTATCGCTTAGTTGTTTGGAAAGCGTGCGCGCGTAGAAAAGAAAAGGAGAGTAAAGTTGGGAAAGAAAGCATGCAACACACCCAGCCCAATTGACTCCAACCAGTAACCACCGTGCGTTGGAGGAGGCTACCGTTAGACGACAAGGACCGCAGCAAGGAAAAAGGCAGTGGACGCTTTCTTGGGGATGGCGCTAGCTAATCTTCCAAACACGACCGATCATCAGTCTTTATATATACTCTAGCTTTCTCTTGCACTTTGCAGAGGCGACAAACCATCCACTGCCTCCTGCCCTCGCCACACTCTCCATATATGCAACTTTCTGCTTACTCACTCATGCAAGTCTTTGGTACTACCTAGCTACCAAACCTTGCTTCAATTTGATCAGGAAGTTCATATGAGCCGTTTAGGATGATATTTCTTGGCAACCTATTGACTCATTATGGCGAATTTAATTTGATCGTCTTGCCATGCGATATTATGATCTATCTTCATCAAATGGCACATGAATTTGCCGGTTTCAGGGTGCGGATTAGACACATGACGCGAATATTAGGGAATAACCTAATATCAAATAAATAAAAAGGGTAAGACTTCGAACTCAGGTCGGCTAGCTCACCACCTTGTGGAGCTAGCCGAAAGATCTCTGCACGTTTCGAATGTCCATGGTTGTTATGTTAGAGTGTTGCACGCTTTGGAATGTAGCTACATTTAGATTATACGTGTCTGCAGTGTGTTGCAAGGTTTAACGGATACGTACTTCATGTGATAGCTTGATGGTTATAATATTATTTACCCTCATTATTAGGATGATTAGTTGGTCACGTGTTCCCATCTTTGCTGACATCTTGGGTGGTAGGATGATCTGATCCATCTTGGGGGTGATTTGAGTTGTAGGATTAGTATAAAGCTTATATAAAAATCATAATAATGTGTTGCACCGTCCATGTCTTCTTGAGTCCTTGACCCAACTAATAAAAGACGCAATTCGCTCTTAGTCCTTTTTTTTTAAAGAAAAAAAACGCAATTTGCTTTTAGTCAAACAAGCATATGCCTATGATCGACGAGCAAGCAGTGATCATCAATGCCTATGATATTTATGTAATATAAGGGTGTTGCACTGTTCGAAATGCAGTGCATCTCTGCATTTAGTTTATTATAAATTGTCAAGAAATCTCTCGCTCGCCTCTCCCTGAATCGCATCTAGCCTGAAGATTGTCGAATTGCTATAGTAACTGATGAAACTGAAGAAAACAAACAGAAAGGGTTGGTGCTGCTTAACTTCATCGCTTTTGTAACTTCTTCTCATCTCATTTTCTCTCCACCTAGGAGGTTGTTACATGCATAACCAACAAAACAGGGCCGGAGCCACCGAGCAGCCACCAGGGTTTAAAAAACCGGCAGTAATCGCACAGTTATCACGCTTATCACCAGGTACGATAAATATAAAACCGCTGTAACCCCAACAAATTTAAATAAATTTTAAAAATAATTTAAATTTTTGATAAATTTTATACGGTTTGCCACGGTTACCGCGCGGTAATCCCGCTAGGGTGCGGTAACCCCACCTCCGACGGTAAGGAAACCCTAGCGGCCACCAAACTCATCGGCAAACACTCCATTAAATTTTAACATTATTGAACAGACCGATGATGAAGTTGAAACTTCTAGAGCACATACTAGGTACGTATTAAATTTGTCACGCTCAAAAATCCTTTTGGCTCTGTCACTGCAACAAAACGTACGATTTCACCAGCGCCCACTACAACCACGCCATCTCACACTCCGGAATATCATTTCAATCTCTATCTAACAAAAACAATGACTATATAGAGCACGTCTGAATTATTCCGGTACACCGGGTATTTTCAGTACCTGGTTACATGCATAAAACTAAAACTTAACGAGACAACAAAGAAAACAAACTTTACGCTTTACGTGCAAGAGTAGTACATCTTCTGCTCTTCATACATGTCAGCAAATTTGCACGGTTTAGGGGGGGGGGGGGGGGCTATTACTTGTGATAGCTCAACTGTTAAGGCTATTTACCCTTATTATGAGAGGATGATCATCAGTTGGTTCATATGTTCCCATCCTTGTTGACATCTTGAGGGTGGTAGGACGATCCTTTTTAATTGCTGACATGCATCTGGGGGGGTTGGTTTGAGTTGAAGGGATTACTATAGCTTATATCAAAATCATAAATTGTGTTGCACGGTCCATGTCTCCTTGAGCTAAACAATTAAAAGATACAGTTTGCCTTTTAAAAGGAGCAGAAGGTGCAATTTGTTTTTTAAAAAAATGCAATTTGTTCTTAAGTCAAACAAGAAGGCATTGGAACAACCAGTGACCGTTAATGGTCATATTAAGGCAGGGAAGTAAACTGTCAGTCTTCCAGTAGTAGCTAAGTAAACAGAAAACAAAATTATAATAGTTCAGGAAGAGTTAATTAGCTCACCATGCCCGAGGTGTGATCCACTGACTGTCACTGCACAATGTACATATAACAAATGCAGATCAGCAGAGAGGATAATATAAAAAGTTCATTTGTTATCACAATTCACAAGTACTATACATGAATCTAGCAATTTAGCAACCTCTCATCAACTATCAATTTAAACCCGTTGAGAGTCTCCATTTCAGCCTGCCATCCACCCTTCACCATAGGCCACAGAAAAGGTTAAATTTTTCGTTTTCGGTGTTTGTATCGGGCGGTGCCGATATGGCGAAATTTTTAGAATTTAGAACAAAATTTAGTTAAATTTAAACAAATATTACCAAAATTCATGAAAAATTTAAAAATTTTGACCGAAATAATATCGTATCGGAGGGGTCTGAAATGATGAACCCTGGCCACAGACCCTTTGTCTCAAGCCTTGGACATGTAACAGAGTGGGTCAAATAATTCTTTTTGTTTAACTGATCTTATTGAGATACGTGCACTAAGCCAGTTTAACCATAATAATTCAATAACAAAGTCAGCGACATCCTCAAACCCAATCGACGGTGAAAAAAAAATTCCTCAACACCGATAATTTTTTTAACAAGGTTCCCAATAATTGATAGGGAAGCACATCAGCGAAGGAGCCCGACCAACCAAGTTTGCTCCAAAAGCTTAAGCTGATGGAAAACTATAGCCAATTTACTTATACTTCAGCAATCAAAATATAACAATCTCAGGGGGCACATATCAGGAGGCTGATCATCACATAAGTTTCAACTGCCTAATTAAAATTATGAAAGTTACAAGTACCAATCCTAGAGTTAAGTGTGAACAGAGACATTGCAATTGCACAAGTGAGAGGACACATGCAACAACAGCAGACACCTGTCACCTTGCCACTGCGTTGCTGGTACTCGGAATGAGACATTAGTGTTAGTGTTAAACAGTAACCTTGGCTTTGGGACTAAGGCCTAGGCCAATGGTACAAAGCAAAGTAATGCAAGTTCATTATGAGATTGATTAAGCACAAGAATATTCAGATAAGAGTACAGAAATTATTGGTTATATATGTAGCAAACTGGATGTCAGTTGTGATGGTGGTATATTGTACAGTGAAAAAGATGAGGAGAGAAAAAAAAAGGATCAAAAGAAATTAGAAAAAAACATGATGAAGAAAAACATGGCTTGATTATACATAGGTGATTTGATTAATTAATTATCAGCAAAACTCTATTATCAAGAAATGCTTATTGCTAACCACTAACAAAAGGCACAAGAAAGCATACATCTTTGTGTGTGTGTGTGTGTGTGTGTGTGTGTGTGTGTGTTGGTAGCTGTATCTATCAGGTGTCGCTTTCTTGCCTCGTTCGCGTGCTCGCCGCCGCCGCCGTCGCCCACGGCAAGCCGTCGTCCGCCGGCGGCGAGGCGTCGGAGTGGAGGACTGGGAGCCTCCTGTCGCCGCCGCGCCACTGCCAGATCTTGGACATCGAGAAGCTGTCGCCTCGGCCGAACACCTTCTTGCCGCCTCCGCCGCCGCCGCCCTGCTTAATGCCAGTGCGCGCCGTGGCGACATTGGCGCCCGCGGCGGCGGCGGCGGTGGCGGCGCTAATGCCATCGCCGGGGCGCCAGTGCACGGAGATCAGCAGGTTGTCGTCGGCGAGCACGTACTGGTACGAGCCCATGGAGTAGCACCGCCGCGCGTCGATGCAGCGGCTGCCGCCGCCGCTCGCGTCGGCGTCGCCGTCGCTGCGCTGCGTGTTCTTGAACCGGCCGAGCCTGACGGAGAGCACGAAGCTGGTCGCGGGCTCGTCGGACGGCGGCGGCGGGTGGTGGTGGTCCAGCTTCTGGTCCTCGACGTCGGGCTGGCGGTGTTGCGCGGCGGCGGGGGTGTCCGCGGCGGCGGCGGCGAGGGCGGCGAGGGCGCGGGCGGAGAGCGCGGCGCGGCAGAGCGGGCAGGTGGAGCTGGAGCGGAGCCAGGTGTCGATGCAGGCGGCGTGGAAGGCGTGGCCGCAGAGCGGGAGGAGGCGGAGGCGGTCGCCGCCGTCGAACTCGCAGAGGCAGACGGCGCAGTCGAACTGCCTCTTCCCGTTCCCGCCGCCGCCATTGGGCGCGGCGGCGCCGGCGAGCAGCTCGGCGTAGGTGAACGCCGGCAGCGCGTCGATGGCGGCCTGATCGAGCCCCGGCCCCGCGCCGCCGGCGCCGTCCTCGTGGAGGCTGAAGAGCTGCTGCAGCTGGCGCTCCACCGCCTCGGCGCTGGCGTTGGCGCGGTGGCTCTTGAGGAACAGCCGCCGCAGCACGTGCAGCAGCCCCGACGCCAGCAGCACCACCGCCAGCACCACCGTGATGAACAGCACCGCCGGCGTCACCCTCGCCGCCGCCGCAGACGTCGCCGGCGCCGACGACCCCGCCGCCGGCGCCACGGCAGGACCATCATCCAACGGGCCATCATCCCCCGTCCTGACGATCTCCCGGCCGCCGAGAAGAAACCTTCCCGCCATGACAATGCAGCAGCTCGATCTCATCCAATAAATCCAAGAACACAAAATGGCGTCGTCAACCAGCTCGATCGGTCTACCTAGAACATCATCGTAGTACTCGTCGTCGCCGTCGTCGTCGTGTTGTAGGGAGTGGATAAATTGGATAATGGAGGGAGGGAGGCGGTTTTCTATTGCGCGGCCGCGGTGGTTGGGGAGGTTTGGCTATCTACGCGCCATGTGAGCCAGCTTCTTCTTCTTTGCTCGGCTCTGGGCATGGCTAGCTAGAGTTGGGGTCACTCGGAGAATACGGAAAGTGCGGGCGAGTTAAAGAGGGGACAGCATGTCAGCGTTTGGGAGGTGGTTGGCGCGCGCGCCTGTACGTACGTGTGTCCCTGCCTCACGTTTTCGCAGCTACTCGATCATAAATGGCTGCGACCGCGACCTGCCGATCGACCGGTAAGAATCGGACATCATATTCTCGTCATATGAAAAAAAAGTTGAAAATTTATGTGAGTAGAAAAGTTTTAAATGTGATGGAAAGTTAGAAGTTTAGAGAAAGTTTGGTGTGAACTAATTACAGGACCTAGATCGGTTATACGATCCACCACGGTACAAGAGCAGGTTACCGTGATTTTGGTGTGTATCAGGTCGTGGGGGCAATGAGATAGAACATGGTTGTGAGCATTGGTCGAATTCGGCGAAATTTCGAGATTGCAAGATTCAGGCCTAACAATAGAGGGGGACCATGTATATACGTATGTATGTGGAGTATGTACTAGTAGTGTGCGTATATGGCTACCATCACTGGCTGTTTTTCTTCCTGCAACCGGGATCATCCCTTCGTGAGGACTTTACTCGTTTACGGTCGAACTATTACCGCGATTTGGTATATCATGGAGCTAGCACTATAATACGCAGGATATGGTTGTGAAATTCGGCGAAATTTCGGGATTGCGATATTTAGAGCTAACAATGGGGGGACCATGAATATGAACAAAGTATGTAGTGCGCATGTGTGTGTACTGGTAATGTGGGGGGTACATGGCTACCATCACTGGGTGTTTTTCTTCCTGCAGAATACGGCACGGTGTCCTTGTGATGGGGCAGGTAGGCACCGGAATGATATGGCAGGGCTGCAGGATCTCGCCATGGGCTCGCGCATGGTACCTTGCTACGCTCTCTGCAGACTGCAGGAGTGAGTAGGACGGTTTCGGTCTGTTTTAGTTCTAAACTTTTTCTTCAAACTTTTAATTTTTCTATCACATGAAAACTTTTTTATACATATAAACTTCTAACCTTTCTATCATATAGTTCTAATTTTAACTAAATTTTTAATTTTGATGTGAACTAAACGCAAACAAAGGTACCGATGTAAGCTCGCCATCGATCAGCTGGGTCAGGTCAGGTCGGCGTTGTGGCTGCTAGTGCTTCAGCTAGTTCGTCCATTTCCTGGGGGCCAGATCACCATGTTTGGAGTCGGGAGTATATACGTAGTACTATTTTGTTGCTGCAAAGTCAAAGCTAATAATCAGGCTAATCTAATCATGCAGAAGCAGCCAACCTAGCTAATGTATCTCTCTCTCTCTCTCTCTCTCTCTCCTTGCATTGCATGGGTCGACGTGTGTTGTTGTTGTCTTAAAGCTGCATTATTGGCAGCTAGTTAGTTAGCCATGCATTGGAGGGGGAGGCTAGCTTCATCACAAATTGGGATTAGTCAACTTGGGTTTGGTAACTCTGGCATGTTGCTGGCTAGATTGGCCTAGCAATGTTGGTGTTTTTTTTTTTTTTTTTGGGGGGGGGGGGGGGGTTTCTATGTAGTATCATGTTGGTTGGATTGGAGTGGCTTCTCAAGTAGTAGTAGTAGATACTACAACTTGGATGGGTACTTAATATACGTACGTGGGAACCGTTGAACGATTCTACTGTGTTGGACATTTGTATGCTTCTCATTTAGATTTTTCTTTTTTAGAAACACAGTGGTAAACTGCCACTAGTACTAGGACAACTATCTACAAGAAAAGAAAACGATCAAACCACCTACACATATTCCATTGGTTAACTATTCCGGTTCTAATATAGAATCGTAGTGAGGGTATCTAGCATACATCTGTATATTCTAAACTAAGTTCTACTAATTTCTTCTAAGATAGTGGTGTTCTCATTCCCGCTTGCACTAACGAACTGTGATGTTTAAAGATGAGAATAATATTGGCAGCATGAACTAATTGACAGTAAGTGCTTCGATATGATGTGGTTCTATATCAATCCTGGGGCCTGTATTAGTATCATAGATGAGTTTCCTTTTTTCTGAAACTGGAGTACCATGGAAGAGGCACTTTTCGATAAGGAGATGCGGACTCGTATGCAGAGTTCTTTCAGTTGCGCCCACAACATACGCGCGCACTTAACCTTATGAATACACAAGCACATTCTACCTTATGAGTATTTTCAGAAGATTGAACCAGCATATTTTGAGGTTATTTGTGGCACTTTCTTTTCCCTACTTCATGTGGACTGAATAATGTTGTTCATACAACAAGCACCGTGAAATTATGCGTCGCAAATGGTGGTTATAGTGCTGTGTCACAATTGGAGGATTAGATTAAGTGTTTGTGCAGATAGAAACAGTGATGAGATTCTCTGTGTGGTTTCATTGATCCAATGCATAACTATGCATGGAATATTTCGAACTGGGGATAGCTCATGTTGGCCTGTGAGTTTAGACGACTTGATCAACAATTAGTAGTACTATTATTTAGATTCCATCGTAACCAACGAAAAATTTACCCCTGTTGTTTTTGTAGTTGGTAGTGATGGTGGCTTTTATTACCTGGACATCCTTTTATATATAGATCGATGGACCTATGGGCTCTGGCATACATAATTTAAGAGGTTTCGATTTTTAAGAATAATTTTAGGTGATTTTTTTACTAGTCCCCGTACCCATTATGCAAAGAAAGTTGAACAGCATATATATGTTGAAGAATCCTCATCCTAATAATTTAGTAAAACTCTAAATTAAGATTTCTTCAATTTTTTTGCTGAAGCTCAGCTAATTAAGCACCAACATATAGTTCACAAACTGAAGGATAAATATTTGTGCACATTATATAAATTATGTATGATTACATTGTTTTGTGTTGGTTTAGTGGATTATTAATCTTGTGTGATCATACAGAGAACTTTGATTTTTTTTTCTAATGCAGTATATATGTAGTCTTTTAGTCTGAACGCTGTTATTCCTTCGCTAGATTCCTCTCAAAAAAATAATTTTGCAAATTTTTCAGGGTTCCAAATATTTTATCAGTAGGAATTATTGATCAACATCATTTTCTTAGAAATAAAATAGTTAGTGATAAATGTTGCATTTAAAGACTTCGGTGATGCCCAACACAACATGTCTCCGTGACTGTAGAAAACATTATGTTATTTACCTAATGAATTATAGGGCACCAGCAACCAGATGGCTATTAATTAACTGACATCTGATCACCATCTCTTGGTATAGGAGCCTGTGTGATCTAGCATTAAGTTTTGAAAGCAACCCATAGCTTACACTGGACGACATGCATTTAAGAATTTCCAAAATGTAGGTAGAGTGGGCTCAATATATGATATGGAATGCTTCTTTGTCCATTAAGAATTATTGATTTTGTTTTGTCAATTAGCATAAAAGAGTTCTCCTCATTTTATATGACGACGTAGCTTGGGATGCATGAAATGGACCTTCTCGTTTTTATTCTTGATTTCTTGCCAACAAGTTGCTGGTTGTTGCCAGTTTTTTTGGCTTGATCCGTACATTTTCCATTATCATGACCAGAAAACACATAAATGAAGACCATATGCCAATATGACATGAAGTTCCATCGGTCTTTTAATCTTGGGTCCCAATATACCCTGATGTTCCATATTATATGAGCTTTGAGTTTGTTCTAAGTTAAAAAAAATTAAGTTTGATCAAATTTATCAAAGAATATCATTTTCAACGCAGAACAAGTAAACTAGTAAAATATATTCAGTGATTTTTAATGAAACTAATTAGGTGTTGTAGATGTTATTGATATTTTTCTATATATTCGGTCAAATTTGAGGAAGTTTGACTTAGAATAAGCTCAAAACGTTTTATAATGTGGAATGAAGTGAGTATATTTGAAGTAATTATTCATTGTACACTCTGTACTTTTTACCTAACTAGAAAGGTAGCCCGCGCATTCACGCGTGCATGTAAGATACGCTTTTGTAAAGTGTAATATCGACCGGATGACACACCACGCTTGAAAAAGTACAATTTCTTATAAATTCTCTTCATCTACATTGCTTGAACTATATAGTATTTAATTCACTACTATAAGCAATTATCAGTAATTCTTCATTTTCTAGAAAAAAAGTGTCAATAAATACATAGGAGATATACATATTGTACAACTCGCTTCCCTATTATATATGTGATCTATAGTGTTTTTTCTAAAAACATACCTAGGCAACATGAGTCCTATACTTAAAGTTAATAGTAGCATATAGATAACTTTTTAACCAACTATATGTTTTGTATATGTAATAATACGTTGTAAAACTCATAATGACATGATATAGGATAGATGGAAGGTCATTAACATCTAAGCATTTAAACATGGTTATGGCAATGGAACATACAATGGTTGCTCCAATTTGTGAAAAGTAATAACTATTTTTTACAAATTTATTATATTCTGCCCAATCAATTTAATTCAATCCCTATTGGCATTTTCTATTTTTCTAATTTACTTTACACAACTCTTATTTTATGTTAAAAATGAATAATGGATCATGAATTGTTGTTTTAATTATTTAATAGAGCAACAATTAGATTAGAAATTAGATGTATAGCTTAAAATATGGGTTTTTCAATATTATTCATAGTTTGTCTTTAAATTTGATAGCTAAAAGGTAGGAATAGGGAGGAGTGGAGTGCGAAGAGCCTGAGCTAAAGGGAAGGGGGCGTTCGGTGTTGTGTGCATGTTATGGGGAGGGCGAGGTATTGGAGACTTTATTTTCCTGATTTTTCCTAAATAATTTAAGTAAAACTGATGATCATATGATTCTCCTTGCATGTAGATTTGAATTAGTGTTATATATTTGTCAAGTGATATTTGACACCAAGTTGATCCTTTTATCATGTGAAATTATTTAAAAAAATTTCATGTCATCAATTATTATATGATGGCATTAAGTATCATATGTCAGCACCATGTATTTAGCACTATAATATAACTTTTATATGTGATTAACATTTTATTTAAATAAAGTAATACAATAGATTATAAGTTAGATATATATTTAATAAATAATATAAAATATGAACATTTAAATGTTTTTCATATTTTTTTTATAATTGTTTGAATGTACGCAAAAATGTAAGAATATAAACCAAAATCAAACATATTTATTTCAAAAGTTTGAATATTGTGAATATGCGTCTTTAACTTTAGTTATAAATAATATAACAAAAATAAGTCGATCAGAAATTCACTATATGCTTTGGATGATATTGTTCTCTATTTTTTTAATAATAAATTATGATTTCTAAGTAATGTAATATGAGAATAGGAGGGAAAGAGAGGTATGGTGTGTTTGAGGGTGTGGGCAGTGGGGTGGATGAATGAGTAAGCGCCCACGTACAGGGCCATGGTGGAGGTTGGGATATGGATTCTATTTTTTAAAAGAAAATGATGGATCTAATGGTCATAAATATGTCTTGAGAAACTAATACTTAATCCATAGGTAGGGTTTTATTTTGTCCATGTTACATGTCAACTCAGCTATTATCATCCTTACTTGTTTTAATTATCCTTAAAGCGGGATGCATTTTAAATAAATGGATCTGCATCTATACCACTAAACTAAACCCAATATATTACTAATACATAAAACATTTATATCTATTACAAACATAAATGTTTATGTCAACCCTTGTTTCTAAATCTATGAATAAATATTATATAATTATTGTTCCTAATGGTTAATAAGATAACACTGTAATAAAGCCGACTGTAGTCGCCGAGGCTTTATTTCTCCACTGCCTTTAAACATAGCTCGCGAGTCAACGTAGTCATGCCCCTCAAGGCCAACATGGAGTATGATGTTAATGCCTAGTTCACTATAAACACCTTCATAGATGATCGCATCAGTAAATAGAAAGTTAAGCATTATTGTAAATGGTGGTCCTCTGCTCGGGTAGCCTCAACTCAGCCATATGTGACCCTTGCTATACTCATGGCAACATAGCATGCTTGGTGCTCTTCAAGGAAAAAAAGAGAGAGAATGTACGTGATGAAAGTATTTTTCCAATAACAAATAAACAGTTGTTTTTAAGTTTTGTGTAGACGCAATCATTTATGGTGTTAATCTGTACTGCTTAATTTTTTTATGGTATAGATACAACTATCTCTTTTGAAATGACAAGTTTGATCATTTAAAAATTTATAGCTAAATGGATATCCAACCGTGACAATCTTCGGAGGACCATATCTTTGTTTATAATTTGATAAAGATCTATAGTTTAGCGCATACTTTGTTTTTTTTTCATGTATTGTTCATAATTGCATGAGACATCTTTACTATTCCTAAGAATATATTTATTTTTTCCAAAATTATTTAAAGTAACTAATTCATTGGAGTGCATTTATAATCACTTCAGTGGGGGTGTATGGCATACATCATCAATTATGTCTGACGTATTAGAATTTCTAAACTATAAGAAAATATATGATTAATAATGCATAGGATTGTTGATTTGTTACCAAAACTATTTGGCAAAGAAAAAACATAAATGACCATAATTCACGTGATAGATTAAGGGATTGTATTATAGCAAGATCATTCCCTGGACATTCCAACCAAATAGTTCTGAAAAATTATTAAAAAATTGAGAAAAACCTCGCATATATTAAAATTAAATAAGATCTAAATTGAAAAACCACAATGTTGTTTCACTCTCCATGCATGTAGATTTGAATTAGTCTTATATATATTTATCGAGCGATATTTGACACCAAGTTGATCCTTTTTATCATGTGAAATTATTTTAAAAATTATCATGACATTAATTATTATATGTTGGCTAAATTATTTAAAAATAATTATGACATTAAGTATTATATGACGGCACCATGTATTTAGCATTACAATATAACTATTATATGTGATTGATATTTTATTTAATTGAAGGAATATAACAGATTATAAGTTCTTGTTTAAACCGTGCATATACATGGATATATGCGGAGCAATAAATTTTATTTTATAATATAGAAAATTCTACTTTAAAACCGTCCTTCTATCAGCATACAACGTAGTATGTTTTTTTTCTGGCTTTATAGCTGTACTCCCTCCGTCCCATAAAAAACCAACCTAGTACTGGATATGACACATCCTAGTACTATGAATCTAGACATATTTCTGTCCAGATTCGTTGTAGTGTTATGTGTCACATCCAGTTCTAGATTCGTTTTTTTCTAGACGGAGGGAGTACGTACGTATATTTGTTTGGTTTTTTGAAGTGAACAATACATATGGGTATATCCAATTGTAGTGTACGTCAACTTTTCTCGTGAAAATTTCTCTTGTATATATCGGACATTAAGAAGCAGCTGTGATTAGATAATGGGCCTATCCGGACATTAAGATGAAGTAGGGATTTTTAAATAGATCCAATCTAACGGTTTAAAATACTTGGCCTACCAGTTTAAGTGAAAATCGACAGTTAGATTAGAAAATGCTATGTGGCGGTTTGGGAGCGTTTGTAGGAGTGCCACGTGGCGGCTTATGAGCGTTTATAGGAAGTTTCATGGACTTTTAGTATATAATAGATAGATAGAAGATAGATAGATAGATACTCTTTGTATGAAGCCGATGCGGTTATATTTATTCAACAAAGTAATATCCTCCTCCTCCTCTAAAATTTATGCCTCTTTAAATAAATAATAATATATGAAAGTTCGCATTTTAAGGGAAACGGTTGAAGGTTTTTTTACATAACAGAGTAGCTATAGTTAACAGAAAGAACAGAGTAGAAGTGGACTACAAATTTATACAATCATTTGAGTTAAGTACAATACAATTGTCAAACATGCACTAAAGCAGATTAATATGAGGTAGTAGCAGTAATTAAACAGGATTTTTTAGCACTAAACATGATTAATTATATAGTAGAAACGAGAGGTTTAAAGAGTTTCGAGGGGAATTTTGCATTGCTGCACACACTGGTCAAGTGCTTGGTGTTCGTCCGCGTCAGTGTCACTCATGTCATGCCTCCGAGGAGAGCGACATGTCGTCTTCCTCGCGGATGGCGTTCACCATGCCAGCGACCTCCCTCATGGTGGGCGGCGGCGACGGCGAGGAGGCGTCGTCGATGCATCTCATGGCGACCTGCAGCAGGCGCACCATCCGCTGCTCGCTGGCGACGGTGTCGCCGCCGGCGCCGGCGGAGGAGAGCATCGCGCGGTCGAACACCTCGGCTGTCCACTCCTCCCGGATGACGGCCGTCACCCACCGCGACAGCTCGGCGCCGTCCGCTGCCGTGGCCTTCCCCGTGAGCAGCTCCAGCAGCAGCACGCCGTACGCGCGCACGTCGGCGCGAAGCGCCGCCGCTGGCGCCGACGACGGCGGCGGCGGCGCGGTGACGCCGTACTCGCTGATGCAGGGCTCCATGGTGGCCGTGAAGAGGATGTTGGAGGCCTTGAGGTTGCCGTGAGCGATGGCGCCGCCGGCCTCGTCCTCCTCGTAGGAGGATGAGAACGACAAGTTCGCGTTCGCGCCGTCGCCGTCGCCGTCGCCTCCGCGCAGGGCGCCGTGCATGAACGCCATGCCGTCGGCGACCTTGGAGGCGATGTGGAGGCGCGCCGGCCAGTCCAGGGCGACCTGGCTGCTCTCTATAGAACCTGCAAAAATGAAAAATCACAAATCATTTTTTGACAAAACAATCAAACATAATGACTAATTCCCCATTCCTAAATCGAACATCCAAAGAAAATGCTTTCATAAAAGTTACACATATCTCAAATGCTCTTATAAATTACTATAATTTTCTTTTTAATGCTGAAAAAGATGTTTGAGTTTATTATTCTACATCAGTATGCATAATAGCAAATGGTCTAAATTAAGAAGCAGGTGAGCCAATTAGAGATTTAGAGACAGAACAAAATGGGCCTAAGTAGCATTGTTCATATGGGCCTCGATCCGAGCCCATCCAAGTAAGCAGGCCATGATTTGGATCAAAATCTCAGCCCACCCACATGGATGGGCCGGAATTAAGGCCCATCCATCAAAAGACAAGCAGAGCTTCAGCTTACCATGGAGAAGCTTGGCGAGGCTGCCATGGCCGAGGAACTCGTACACCACCAGCTTCTCCTGCATGGCGCAGTAGAACGCCAGCGGCGGCAGCACGGCCGGGTGCCTCGCCTTCCCGACGCGCTCCATCCGCCGCCGGAACTCCTCCTCCTCCTCCGCCCCCGCCGCGTCCTTCACCCGCTTCACCGCCAGCGCGGCGCCGCCGGGCACCACCACCTTGTACGCGCTCCCGAACCTGCCGCGCCCCAGCAGCTCCGCCGGCGACCTGAGCAGGTCCTCGAACCGCAGCTTCCTCGCCGCCTCCGCCGCCGCCGCCGCCGCAGTGTTCAGTGTCATCACCGTCGACGCCGCCGTGCCCGATCGTTGCAGCACCACCAGCGACGCCGGCGTCGCGCGCGCCACCGCCGCCGCTGCCGCCGCCGTGGCGTTCATCCGCTCCTCCGACATCGGGAGGGAGTATGCCGACTTCCCTGGGGTCACCGACGATGATGTCTCCGTCGTCGCCGCCGTCTTGCCGCCGACGCCGCTTGGTCTCCTCCGCCTCTTGGAGCACATCATGTACAAGACGAAGGCCGCCACGCCGGCGCCGAGGAGGACGTAGCCGAGGCACATGACGATCGTCCGCGCCCTCCTCCTCCTCTTCCCATCGTTCTCGCCGGAGCTCGGCGGGGGCGGGCACGGCGGGAAGTCCGGCCGGCCGCACAGGCCGTCCGAGTTGCCGGAGAAGCTGTCGCGGCCGAAGTCGCCGGCGTCGTCGGGGATCGGGCCGGTGAGGTTGTTGTTCGCGACGCTGAAGTGCTCGAACCTGGACAGCTCGAACTCCGGGATGGCGCCGTTGAAACGGTTGTCGTTGACGCAGAATCTCACGAGGCCGAGCTTGCTGAGCTCGGCGGGGATCTCGCCGGAGAAGCTGTTCCTGGAGACGTTGAGCACGTGGAGGCTGGCGAGCTCGGCGAGCGACGGCGGGAGGCTGCCGGAGAGGCGGTTGTCGCCGACGTAGATGTGCGTCAGCCTGGCGCAGCCGGAGATGGCCGCGGGGAGGTCGCCGCGCAGCGCGTTGCCCTCCAGGCTCAGCACGCGGAGCGCGGGCGCGGCGGCGCAGAGCGACGCCGCGTTGATGGTGCCGTCCAGCCCCTTGCGCTCCAGCACGATGGCTGTGATCCGGCCATCGCCGGCGGGGGCGCCGTTGCAGCCGACGCCGGGCCACACCGTCCGGTTGCCGTCGCACGGTTCGACCGACGCGTCCCACCCGATGCCGCGCGCTCTCTCCTTGTCGCCGCCGGCGAGCTCGGTCAGGAATCCGATGAGCGACTCCCTCACCCTAGCCCCCTCCCCGCCCTGCGCCGCCGCCGCCATGCAGCAGCACGCCAGCAGCAACGCTACTATCGCGAGCACCCGACCGGCAAAGACGACGACCTTACTCTTCTCCATGGCGTCCGGAATGGGTGGCGATCTCGCATGGACGAGCGACGCCGCGACGCGAAGAAGGCGGAGGTTTCGAGGCGGGGTGCGCGGCGAGGGTGTTCGGCTTTATGCGTGCGCGGTGGCGAGGGCATTTCGGTGGGGACAAGCGGGGTGCGGCCACACACGGCTCGCGGCGGCCGGCCGCGGCCGGCCGGCAAGGGGAAGACGACGACATGGTCACGCTGCTGAACTCGTCGTCTCCATGGATTGCTGGATCACTCAAAACTCGAAGTCGACGTCAGGGGCGTCGCTGGTGTTGTCTGAACTGCAGGGAGGTTAGCTGATGCCATGATCGAGCTTTGACTTGGTCAGGAGTTTTAAAGAGTTGAGGCCCACGGGCTACAACTGTAGAGTTGGGTTCCTGGGCCGGCTGTGACCCTAATTCGGTGAGTCAAATAAAGGCCCGTGCATCTTTTTTTTTTGGGGGGAGAACTATGCATCTTGGTTCGAGTCTTCAAGAGCAAACCCTGGGCCGCCATCTTTGGGTCTATAGTTTGGTTAAAAACGAAAAGGAGAAGGGTAATCTTCCGGTTCCAGATAGTAGAAACCTGGTAATAACCAGTACTCCCTTCGTTCACAATGTAAGTCATTCTAGCATTTTCCATATTAATATCATATTAATGTTAATGAATCTAGATAGATATATATGTCTAGATTCATTAACATCAATATGAATATCTAGATTCATTAACATCAATATGAATATCTAGATTCATTAACATCAATATGAATATCTAGATTCATTAACATTAATATGAATGTGGAAAATGCTAGAATGACTTACATTGTGAAAGGGAGGAAGTATATCCCAAGTTCTCCAACGCATGATCATCAGCCTAAGGGCACATTCAAATATAGAGCATGGTATAAAATCTGAAACAATTTAGAAACTATCCTTTTATATCAGTTGAGATGATAAAATACTCTAACAATTATTTATCCCTCTTTTCTTTCTCCATCTTTATATAGTAAAATTTTGCTTTTATAAACGCTAAGAGTTGATGTTAAGCCATTCTCATACATAAGGATCTTTCATGCCAACAAACTTACCTTGTTAACAACTATAAAAACTCACTATTAATTACCATTGTACATACCCTAAAAATAATAAAACATATTTCTAACTTTTTCTGCTATATTATTATGGAACATCGTATTGTGTGGTGTTGTTCGAAAAGGAAAACCGCAAAATTTGGCGTTACACCATGCTTCCAGCTAGCCTTATTTTGTCATAGCTAGCTTGCATTTGTACACAAAATACAGGTAGTCACGCATGACGTGCGCACCTCTATTGTGCATAATCATTAATTCCTCCGTTTCACAAGGTAACACTTTTTATTGTTGCCCACATTCATTTAGATGTTAATGAATCTAGACATATGCATGTGTTTAGATTCATTAACATTAATATCTATATGTATGTGGATAATGCTACACTGGTGGAGAAATGATCTTTATTGGGTCGACCCAAAACCACAATAATCCTGGTTCCAAGAAGAACCGGGACTAAAAATGATCTTTAGTCCCGGTTGAAAACTCCAGAGGCATTTTATGATCTTTAGTCCCGATTGGTGTTACCAACAGGGACTAAAAATCATCTTTAATCCCGGTTCATCCCCTGTCAGATTGATGTCAGGGGGCCGAAGATCTTTAGTCCCGGTTAGTGTTACCAACCGGGACTAAAGATCACCACTTTAATTCCGGTTGCCGATCTCTAGTCCCGGTTGGGAACACCAACCGGAACTAAAATTCGAAGCGTAGTATATAATCCTATCCCTTATCCTCTTCTCCACAGATCGAATCTCTCCCTTCTTTCCCTTCCTCCTCCGCTTCCTCCATCCTCATCCCGATCCATCCCCTCCACCTCCTCCCCTTCCTCATCCGATCCCCTCCCCTCTCCTCCACCTCCTCCTCTCCCCTCTCTTGCCCATCCTCCTCCCCTTCCCATCCGGCGGCCGGCGGGGCCGTGCCCGGCGGCGGGCCAGCGGCCGTGGCAGGCGGCGGCGGACCGGGGCAGCGGGGCCGCGCCGGGTGGCGGGGGGCCGGCGGCCATGGTGGGCGGCGACAACGGCGTTATTTTCTCTTTTTTTTAATTTGTGATTCACATGTATAATTTTGTGATTTATTGGATGGATCTGAGATGACCTATGATGTATTTGATTTGTGTATAATTTTTTAGGATTTGTGATATATTTGATTTGTGTGTATATGTAACTTTAAGATTTGTGATGTGGATTTGGGATGTTACTTTGATTTGGGGATATGCTTCCCACTTGATTTGGGAGAAAATAGATATGCTTCCCGCTTGATTTGGGAGAAAATAAAAAAAAAGAAAAATGGACCGTCTAGAACTGTCGCTATTCTCTCTTTACTCTCGGAGAACACCAATCGAGACTAAAAATCCATCTTTAATCCCGGTAACCGGGACTAAAGATCCATCTTTAATCCCGGTTATTTGAACTGGGACTAAGAATAGAGATCTTTAGTCCCGGATTCGTACCAACCGGGACTACAGGGGGTTACGAACCGGGAGTAAAAAACACTTCTGTACCAGTGAGCTATAAAGTCTTATATTGTAAAACGGAGGGAGTATATTGATGCACGTATAGGGGCAGGTGAACAAAAAGCTCAAAACTCCTGCTTCAGATCGGCTCGTGCATGGATAGCTTGGTTCGGATTAACTTAAACTCGTAATATTTGTGAGTCAAACTAAGCTAGACGTTTAGCTCGTGAGTTTAATTAATGAGCCAGCCCGTGAGCTGCCCACTTAGCTCACCAGTACAACAGATAAACATTTGTTCATACACTTAGTGCGTTTTAACTTTGATTAGTCCTTTAGTAGTTGCACCTAAACTATTTGTATTTAGTGTATTAATTCTTCACCAGTTAGAAATTAGTGTTTATTACTAATAAGTGTATATATATATATATATGTTAAGGTAGTAAACTAAAAATTATAAAAGTAATATAAATGTGTTAATGAGCTTAACGAGTCATCTCGCGAGCCACTTAAGCATGCACCCACTCGGCGGCCGCTAGTCCGCTACGTATATACTACCTCCGTTTTTTTAAATAGATGACGCCTTTGACTTTTTCTTACATGTTTGACTATTCGTCTTATTTAAAAAATTTACGTAATTATAATTTATTTTGTTATGAGTTGTTTTATCACACGTAGTACTTTAAGTATGATTTATATCTTATACATTTGCATAAAATTTTTGAATAAGACGAATGGTCAAACATGTGAGAAAAAGTCAACGGCGTCATCTATTAAAAAACGGAGAGAGTAGCTATGAATAATGTACTTTTTCCGTCTTAAAATTAAATTATTTCTACCATTAAAACTTTATCTAAAATGAAGCTATTTTTTACCTCCTTCATCTTAATCGGCTATAACCATTCTTCATTTAATTTCTTTACCTATTTTCTGTTATCGATGAATCATTTCTATCTATTTCTTTAATACATGTACCATATTTTAGAAAAATGCTTATATTCTACTCCCTCAGTCCCATAATATAAGGGATTTTGACATTTTGCTTGTATTGTTTGACCATTCGTCTTATTCAAAAAATATTAGAATTATTATTTATTTTATTTGTGACTTGCTTTATTATTCACAATACTTTAAGCACAACTTTTTATTTTTATATTTATACAAATTTTTTAAATAAAATGAGTGGTCAAAACATTGTAAGAAAAAGTTAAAATCCTTTATATTATATGACGAATGTAGTAGAAGTAACGGAGTACGTCGTTACAGCCATGCACTGATGCACACAGACAAACTTATCCAGCTGCACTCCACTCGCCACGGCCGCGAATACGTCCGCACGAGCTCGAGACCGATCGATGTGACTCTCCTGCATCATTGGGACTCTGCATGCATGCAGATCGATGGATGCACCAACGATCCATATGAAATGATCCACATTTGTGTGCATCGATCATGATGCGTATCTCGTCGTATATATCATTGCCCCCCATTATCATTCTCAACACACATGCGTGCATATATCACTACTAACAGGGGCGGATCCAGAAACAAAAATTAGAGAGCTCAGTTACACAGTTTCTTCAATCTCTAACCATTTAGGGACCTTTAGTTTATCATTCATAGTGAAAAAATCGAAGAGGATGCTCCGGGGGTATCCATAGGTCTTGTGGGTATAGGGGGGACTCAAGTCCCCCTACACCCACGTTGATTCCGCCGCGGACTACTACATATAAACTTTACCTTAAAGAGATTATCATGCATGCATATATAATTACCTATCTAACATAGTAAAATTATTCTTCTAAGGTTCTTGTTCAATTAATCTTTATAAGACCTATAGTAGACGTGATTCCACACTACAATAGGTGTGACGAACTTATTTCCCTCTAAATTATCCTCAATCCCTGCGTACGTGGGATTAACCGAACAAAGCATGAGGGAGGGATCGGAGAAGGATTAATTCCAAACCTCCATAGCTAGGTGTGAAATTATTTCTCTTCAAATCCTCTAATCCTCTTGTAGGTTGGATTAACCGAACAAGGCTAAATGTGTTGTCAACACATGGATCGAGCTGATGAGGCGGTGAGGCCGATAAAACAAAAGAAAAGAGTAAAGAGGTGGAAGTCGCTGCTCAATCAAGCCTAGAATGGAGAGAAGATCGATATATGCGCGATTAAGAGCAAGGCTAACAATATAGCCGATCTGTTAGCTATAAAGTTCTTTGTGACCTTCTATCAGTCTACCTATATAATAGTCTACCCATATAATAGTGAGCCATTTACAATTAATATAGGGCCCACTTGTCTCTCTCACAGAGTTTCTTAGTTCTTGTGTCCAAACCGGCTGTAAGTTTACATCCCGCTTCTCCTCTCTCTTCTCTCTTCTCTCGTCTCTCCTTCACCTCAGCATTTAGCCGGTTTATAGCCTACTATTATACTTGCTCTGATCACGCTTCGCCGGGCTATCAGGGAGGAGGCCAACACCTCCTTGGCGTGTGGCGACGTGTGTGGATGCATGGGATAGTACAGGAGTAGTCGGATGCGATAGGTGGCGATTGGGTTACACTAAACGTACGAGTGTACGTATACACTTCAACCTAGCTTCACCTATTGACCTAGACCCATTTAACCTTATTCTTTTATGATCAACAATTAATGCGCATCTCTATTAATTTTAGAACGGGTTTGTAGTCCTTAATTCGAGGTCTCACCGCTAAGGGCACCCGCAATGGTTATCTATAGGCTCTCTATAAGAGATCCATGTCAGCATATTTTCCTACTTGGAAGATATTAAATGAAGAGAGAGAGCAAAACTATCTACTAACCTGGAGATAGTCTATAGAGAAAAACGAGGCAATGCATTAGAGAGCTATAGATACCCATATAGACGTACTATTGAAGT